CACTAAGCTGAACAAGCATTTTCATCCCCAAGTATTTTTTTGTCAGTGATGTATCATATCAACAGAAACCAAACCAGTACACCAAGTAAATGAAAACCCCAAACAAGGATAAATAACTGTGCTTTTGTTCTAAGCCGAATGTAGTCAGATGAGACTAGGAATTCATGGATTCTAAAGAGAAGAATTCAAGCAGATGGTGTAAGAAATATATCATACAAACATACATACATGCATGCATACATATGTACATCACAAAATTTTACAAAACAGACACTACAGAACACAAAGGAATCAATAGGTTTATATGCCGTATTAATAGGTGACCTCAGTACATCATTATCTTCAATAAATATATCATCCAGACCCCCAAAAAATACCTTTATCAAACAAACTTCAGAGGAAACTTCACCCTAAATTAAATACATTTAACAAATACCTACAGACATTCCATCTAGAAGTTCTATAATACACATTCTTTACAGAATTCCAAAAATGTTCTTTAATATGGATTACAGTATTGGGCACAAACAAGTATGTGGCAAGATGTATCAGGGTATAAGGGTATTTTCCACCAACCTGAAGTCCTTTTGAAAAGGCATCCTAGTTCATAAATGGAAGACTTAATATTAGCAAACTGTGCATATCATGCAATTGATACAGATACTAAAGGCAACTCCTCTCAAAATTACAGAAGAACAACTTGAAAAGGATGAATAAGAGACTGAAGAGTTATTGGCCCTTAATGGGTCACCTAATCACACTATCCCTTCCCAAAGCATAGGGATTATTGCAGTAGAGGGAACAGAAAGTCTTTAAGAGCCAGAGGTGTTGGATGGATACATAAGAACACCATGTTTTCTGGACAAAAGAGGGGAGTTTCACATATGAACCCACAGTGTTGGTGACAGCATGCACAAGACCTAAAGAAGCCCAAGCCAGACAAAAACTCAGCATGGAGTGGGGAGGTGATCAAGAAGCTACAGCCCTAGCTGAAGAGCTACTGGTAGTTGATAGTTACCAGGAGAGGGAGAGTCAGTTTTCTTTAAGGGTGTGACTCACAGTAAGTTGACCAGGTTCCAAAGGATGGACCCACACCCAAGTGCATGTGGGGAATACAAATTGGCCTTAAAAGTCTTGAAAAATTGAAGAAGACAGGAAGGCAGGTGTATCTCAGAGAAGATGGTTGAGGGGTTCCGAATATGATCAAAATACAATTCCCAAAGAATCAATAAATATGTTATTTTAAACAATAAACTATTTTGGGAATGGCAGCAAGTACAAAGAAGTTCCCATGTGCTCTGGAATATATAAAAATAGATTCTCGTGCAGTTTAATCACTTCTTCATGAATTAAGTGAGATGAAGTCAAGAGATTGCTCTCAAAGGAATCTTTTCCCTTGAGAGCTCCAAGTCCGTAATTTTTCTCCAGATTCCTATATAGTAAGGTCCATAATCCTATTTTAACTCCATATGACATTATTTCAAATGGACCAGAGACTTAGTGGAGCCTCTTTGCTCACCTTTTTATAAATGGATGATAATAATTCATACAACAACCTCCTTCCAAACTCCAGCAAGCCTTCAATCATGACCAGAGGAAACTCATAAGGTAATAATCATGCTGACTCATGTTGATAAGATAAGCATTTACTAAAGTTTTAAAATACGTTAATCTCTTAGCTACTGGTCACAGAAACCATTTCATGAAATATGTGGGAAAATAAT